TTCCAAGTGGCACCAAGTGAATTGAAACATGTCAACTTGAATATTTCATTGATAGCTTTTCGTATTCTTTTGAAAAAAGTATATGCAAAACAACTGTTTAATACAAAAAATAGAAGAAATACATTTTAAAAATCAAGCCATTGATACCCACATTTCTTCATCATGCAAGAAAAAATCAAGTAAAATAAGCTTCTAATGGCAAGAATGCATCATGTCGCATATTCTCTCGGAGATAAAGTTGTGTTTCATAGATATCGTCGTATTTTAGCCTGAGAACAAACTGTAAAAATAAATTAAGTTTGATTTAATATTAAATCAATCCTTCTAGTCCTCCTCCCTTCTTTCTCGATCATAAAAATAGATGAATCATTAGTGCATTAACAATCTCAAGGCATTGTAAAACACGTCAATGTTAGTAGGGCTAAAAACGGTAATTCAAACCTAAACAATTGAATCAATGAATAAAGGAACTGTGTAGGTCAAGCTACAATCTTTCCCATAATCATAGCGACCAGAACTCCACTTTAGAAACTGATCATACGATAAAATTCTTTATATTTGATAACTGTGTGGATCTTTGAAGAAAATCAAAGGTTTTTAAAACGAGTTATTCTGTGAATAGGAAAAGTAAGAATTTTATGAAACCTTGAAAGATGTGAATGTAAGAATCTTAAAATAGAACACAGTGGCTTACCAGAAGTTTAAAGATCGAATCAATTGGAAATTTTCTTCTGAAACCATGGACAACTTCAGTTGTCAATTTCACTTGAAAAGCGCCTAAAAACAGGAAAAACTGATGAAGGGTAAAAGATGAATCAAGAAAATGAACCAAATTTACTAAATTAATTGGAAGAAAACGTATAATTTCTGAATTTAAAATTTCGAATAAAAAACTCCCAAAGGATTCGGTCTGATTAACTCAGCACGATGTGGGAATGAAAAAGGTGGAATATTGCCAAGGTTTCGAAACAACTGAAATAACACTACCATATACTGGCTGACGAAGATCTTATAGCAGTCCAAATAAATGACTTACCAAAAATGGTGCAATGAATTACAGCGATCGGTAGCTGAGTGTATTGTTAAAGCATTGGCGTGATTTCTCTACTTTGAAATCATAAGATATCAACCAAAGTAACTAAAATTACATGACACATATTCTCCACAGAAGATTCCAGTACGGCTCTTTGAATTTCCAGATGGAAAATTTCACTTAATCATATCTTTTCCATCATTACTGCATTACTATTAAAACTGGCAGCCGATATGAGAATTTGAATTTATAACTGACTTTCCAGAGGGGTGACTCATTTAACTTATGCAATTTAAAGAAATTTTGGAAACTGAAACTAATTTTATTATCGAAATTTTAATCTCACCGACTGTCACATATGAATGGATTAGGAAGTTGTATTTGCTCTTCGCCTGAAATTCACAACAACGAAATCAGTTAATAATTCATATCAGGTCTGCTTATTAAGACCATTACCTTCATCTACTTCCATGCATTTACTTCCTTACATCGTGCACAAAATCACATACAATTAATTATATATTCCAATTTCTTCCTGCTCAAGTTATTGATGTTTTTATTGGAACAATAACAACAGAAACATGAGTATCTTTTCTTACAAAACCTGATTTGGCATAGATAATTTGATGCAGAACCTTTAAGATTAATAATACCTGAGAGATTCGAAGCATGACAGGACATCAATTCTGGAAGTAAGCTAAGAAAATATTTGCAATTGCTGGTTACTAAAACTACGAAATCAAAACTATGAAATTCAATTTAACCTGAGAACGATTAAAGTGGAATGCTTTCAGAGTCATCATTCAGGAAAATCCGTAGTCGGTAACAATACCGGAAGTGGGATCCGAAATGTGCAACAATGACCACGAAAATTTGCCTCGTAGAATCACCGAAGATAGAAAGCTCACATATATTGTTTTTCGAAGTTATGAAAATTTGCAAATGCCGAATACGGAATTTCTGTCATTATTGTGAATCCTGCAGTATCCATCATTTATTGCCAAAGTGTGAAAATCTCGTAGCCTTCATTTATCATAACTATATTTACATCTCATTTTTTCAAATTTCAAATACAGAAAATGATATTTTAATTTGCCGACTGACGCTGTCATCGCTATCAGAAGCTAACAAAAGCGAAAAGTTTCTTTGAATAAAAAAAGCGCAATCCTAAAATTCAGCAAGTCAAAATAATCCAATTTACTGGTATAAATTAGACACAAAATTTAAAAAATTTTTCTCATTTCCCACTATTGCTAAATTTATTAAAATTTGTCAAATCTAATAAAAGAATTAAGATTTCTACTTTTTCATCTTTTAGGAATGCATGATTTTTTCAAAATGATAGAAATTTCGAATTTACTTCAGAAAAGTTAAGAAGTAGCTTATAGTGTGTTAATCCCACTCCCACTAAAAAATTATGCTGCATATACCTTTGATTGATATTATTTCTTGTCGCCAGACGATATGATATTCTTGTCGGCAGACGATATGATGCTGAATCATTTGGGCCTTTAATCGCATGTTGAATGGGTTTCCACTTTTGCTCACTCGATGGAATTTATAATAAATTTTCAACTAAATGAAATGACCTTTCACTATTTTTATATTTCATAATTAGTAGTGCGAATGCTGCTATCTTAATCAATATATTCTTTGAAACGATTTCAGTCATAGAAAGCAATCACAAAAGCAGCATAATAAATTCGATTTGCACGACTGTTTACATATTTGATTTGCAAAATAACTTATAGCATGCTATTAATATTTCTGTTACACATATAATCTTTCTCGAAATTGATCTAACTTCCGCACTGCTGTAGTTTTCTTTCCAATTCAACTTTTTTATTTAATCATCTAGTAGTAGCAGCAAGAATGAGTGGATCTCGCTGTGTGCATAAGTAAAAGCTTCCCTTCATCAATAGTAGATACTTTGGTCCTTGAAGGAGCCATTTTCAAGATGATCTTCTATTAATATCACTCCTAAATTTAGAGTATCACACAAATTACTTCAGACATAATTCTGATAAATATTAAAACTCAATTTATGGTACTTCGATATATTACCATCAAATGGATCCGGAGACAATTCTACTAGCGGCTATTCTACTTTAGTGAAATCTAAAAACAATGTTTCAGAGTTTATCACTGAGAATTGAAAATATTCAGAATAATAAAAATAGCTATTAATAACAGTCAGTCACACCTTAACTAGAACAATAGGTTCCATGTCTCCATTATATAACAAGCATTTGGTATCACCGATCAAATCCACCTGTGACGACAACTACAAAATCCTGTCTATTGAAAAAAATTTAATGTGTTTACTGAAAAGAAGTTAATTGCACGAAATTCGGTTTGTAAGTGATGGGCGCAAAACAGGTGATTCGAAATGACCTGGACAAACAAATCATTTATCTAATAGAGAATAACATTCGCAACCACTGCATATAAAATTAGCAAACGGCCGTCGAAGATATCGATATGAACCGCGTAAAAAGTTGTCACCACAAGTATGGAGAGACGTTTTTATAAGATTGTTATCATGGGATCAATTGGTACCGTAGCCGACCTTTATTGGTATCAAAGCAGTAGTCTCCCTAGAAGAGAGAGCGGTAGGAAGCACAATTTTCTGCTATGGTGCCAATTAATGACTAGGGTATTCATGCTATAAGGGACTAGCTATTTAAAGTTATATTTTCGTTTTATTGCATCGGACAGTCACATCTCATTATATTTGTCTTATCTTAGTCTCTCTGACAATTCTGACTTATATCCGTTTTCATATGTAAGCTTAATAAAGAGGTTAAGGTTGATTGCTGATAGATGACATTTTAAACTTATTAACCTTTTGGCTACATAGTCGATGTTTTCTGTAAAAGATAAATTCATTTTAAATCACTCAATTTAGTTGCTGATAACTGCACATTTATGAAAGGTGCAAAAATAATAGTTCGGATTAGAGGCATTTAGATTAGGCTTTTATCTTTGGAATAACGTTTATGCGTCTTTGGGATATGTGTTTATGCGTGGAAGTAGAAGATTCTTAATGAAAGCAAGCGAACAATACACTTAGCGAAATTATGAAAACGATGAAACTTATGAAGGGATATCTAGAAACTTCTTTGTTTCCCCACTTATAGCAATTCCCATTCTTTTCAAATTATCTGCAAAATTAAGGATTCATTGTTTATTACTTCAAATAAAATGGCTGCCAAGATTTCTAAGCATATTACAAACAAGTGCGAGTTCACAGCTGATGCGGGTCGAGGCAAGGATGGATTAATCCTTCGTATATATCTCTCTGCTTGTCATTTCAACTTTATTTCGATCACTTTTGATATTTCACTAGAGACTGAACACAGAGTTTATGTTCAGGTAAAATCTCAAAAATCGACCTCATATTCTTGCCGTCTCTCTCCTTCTCCTCATCTCTCCGTTTTCACCAGTATGTATGGTGAAAGTACGATTTGTTGCTGCTAAATGGTATTGAACATTCGATCTAGGGGATTATAGATTCGTTTAATAGTAGAGGTTGCCCTTTTTTGTCAGTAATGGTTTCTTTCCTCTACATAACTTATTAAGATGTGAGATATAAGAGTTTACTTCCTTATAAGACATGTCGTAATGTAATCCTGCGATTTCTTCATGGCCATATGTATACATTTACAAAAAGCTTAAAAGTTGTTTGTGCATATGCTTCACTTGTTTTCATTTTTGGAATTGTTTATTTTTCTTTTCGATTAATTTTATGTCATTCGACGAAAGTGATTACTTGATATGCTGTAGCGTTATAAAATATTGTTTGTTCCTAGAGCATAATGCTTACGGGAAAGTTCTATAAAGCAATTTTTAATTTGTTTTTGCTTTGAAGGTAGTGTTTATTGATAAAATGTTATTGGTTCTGTTACCTCAATTTTTTTTCAGAATTCAATTTTTTTCTAAAATGTTAAATTTATTGATTACAGCAATGATTGGTGGTGTTCAAAATTTGGAACAAACTGAAAAGCTTGCTGATGAAGATTTCACTTTCGAGAAGCAGCAGGAACATCTTTTGATGAGTAAACTTGCAGCACACAGCAAATTACCAGTGAAACCACAAAGTGCGTTTCTGCAGAAGAAATTACAGCAGCAAAGAGTATGTTTTATTTCGAAACCTTATGGTTTCAAAGAATACTGGGAAAGAGCTAGGGTTAATTGTTGGTGTTTTTCGAAAAATCTAATAGCATTTCCACTCCTTCACTCCATTTATCCTGTTTGGAATGTTGGTAAATTTCAATGTTCGAAGGAGAAAAATTATCTAGTAGTATCAACATATTATGGTGATCAAACATCAGAGAGATGCGTAAGTCGGAGTTAGCACCACAAAACAGCTGATATAAGTGGAACGGTTCCCTTTATACTTCTGTTGCAAATTGAAGTTTTTCTTTCTTCATTGAGCTTGATTTATTCGTTACAGAAATTTTTTGATTCTGGTGACTATGCAATGAATAAACAAAAAACGAATAACCCATCAGTGAACTTGTCAAATGCCAATTTACAAAACGTTGCGCATAGATCTAATTCACTTTCTTCAGCCATGCAGGTATCCTCTGTGAAATTTTACTTTAAGAGATGGAAATGGATGTGTTGTTTTGAAGCCTCTCATGTTTAGAGATAGTTGGTTTGCTGAATGGTTTAGTTTTCCTTATGAGTAAGAGGAAACTTTCATTTCCGTTCGATTTAGACACAGCCTAACGTTGAAGTTATTGATGAGAATGATTATCCACAAATAAGTAGTAAGCACAGTATGTGTTACGAGTACAGCTGTATTAAGGGTCATTTTTCGGCGTATTTTGAAAATTTTCGATACATAAATCACTTAAATACTACTTGTTGAAGTGTGACCACTATTAATCTAGTCTGAACTTAATAGAAGATTTTTAGTCATCTTTTTTCAGCACTGTTTAAATTAAGTCTTTAGAGCTTAAGTTCGTTTTATCATTTCTTGTTTGTATGTTCAGGAAGTGGATACACCGCTTAAAATTGATGTTTCACCGACAATAAGGGATGAATCATTGCTAATTCCTCGCCCAGACACAGTCCCACAGCGTAAATCATCGATTATTTACCCATCTGTACATAGCAAATTAAGTCCACAACCATATATCCATCATTCAACGCATGATAGCGATCTTCTTCCAGGACCCTGAAAAGTTTCCCATGATGTCATTTGTGTTACAAATATTAACGCCTGCTTCTCTATTTTTTCACCCAGCTATGTTTTGCCTAGCGAAATAATATTCTTGTGTAGGAGTTTAAGGTCTTTCAAGGTATTTTTTAAGTTCATTGTAAGAATGATCTCAGATTTCGACATTCTGGAAATCGTGAAGTTCTGAACAAAATACGAGGGAAGTCACTACAGGATCATTTTCTTTTTGAATATTATCGAAATTAGTCTTGAGCTTTTCCAAAGCTCAAAAAATTCAGATTTTTGGTTTTTCACTTCATATTGTTTACTGATTGCCGAATCTACCGTAAAAATTGAAGCATGCTTGTTTTGGATGCCTATGTTTTCACCGTTCTTTCGTAGGTTTTCGTCCATGCTATTATTTTTTACTTTATACGAAAAATATTTATTTGTTTTCCATAGTCTGTAATTTGCTGCTTTGCAAAGGAGTAAAAGTCGATGGAAAATTTATAAGCAAAAGCTCTTAACCATTAATTAGTCCAGTGTGTTGGATGTGTCCCACAAAAAATGAAGAAGTTGGTTGTAAACCAGTAGAATTTTAAAGTGCTTTTATTCTCGATAGCCTGCTCTCTAGCTCTATAGACCCAAATACCTCACTAATGTCCTGCAGGGTGCGTTGCAGATCACACACTTTCATTCAGCCATCTTAGTTTGCAATGTTGTTGCCACAGTGGCACCTGTGTATTTCTTGGAACTTTATTCTTGTTTCTTTGTACCACGTGCCATTTATTGATGCTACTGTAAATGGTTCTGTCATCATAATCTATCATCATCATAATCAAAACGGATTTCTATTTTTAAATTTTCAACATTTAACAAATAAAAAAGCCAGCAAGCTAATCGTTAACTGATGAAGTAACTATATTCTATTCTAAGTGATGATGTTGCTAGTCTTAAGGGGATCAATCATACAAATTGCGAGGATATCAATCTAAATCACAAACTAACGTGATCATTCAGAGTTATTAAAAAGTACAGCCATGATACCGCAAAGCTGGTGGTATTTTCATAAACATATCGCGCAAAATTTTGCATTCTTTTTACATTTTATTTGGCTTTTAATTTAACAGCAAATTTGATGAAAATAATTCTCGCGATTTTACTTGGATATTTCTGAATATTTGCAATCCCCAAAACGCTCCAATTTAGGAACGTAACTCTTCAAGCAGCGTGAAAGATGTGAAAATAAATGAAGATTGGAAAATATTAATTTCAACAGGCTGTCTGATTTCATAATTTGCTTTGAGACTGATATGATTCCTTCTTTCTTTAAGCATGCTGAACTCAATAAACGGGGCCTAAGTTATCTTCTCGAAGCTGACTAAGGATCGGCGTTTTTCACTTACAACACACCTTTTAATTGTTCATTCGGAATGTTAAAAACGGTTTTTCCTTCAAAATTAATAAATTAATTCCAAGTTAATGCTTAAGCTAGATTAAAAACAGGGCATTGAAGATTAAATTCTGATATTATTTATAGTGCTCTGTTTCGAATTCAAGTAACACTAAAAAATGCCTCTTAATAAATAGTGCTTCCCGCGAAATTACGATTAGAGATTAATATTCATGACTGCGAATCTTCACATAAATTTACTGCTTGCCCATCTTGTATAGCAAATGAAACCTTCCTGGAGCAACACTATAAATCAGAAAGTCAATACTGGTAAAAAATTACACTGGTAAAAAAAATAGTTATTCAAACTGTTTTTACAAGAAAGATTCTATGTGCTTGCGCTAGAACTACCAATTTTTAGGACATGCAAAGAAGCAAGCTTCCAAGCATTGACAATTTCCGTGATGCTTCGACAATTCACAGCCATGTTTAAGCGCTTATCAAATTGTGTATTGACATCAACTAAGCTAACACCACCATACGACCACCGATCACGCCATATGGATGCCCTGGATTCCGGATAGTTCAAAGGAACCACTAATCGCAATGGTGGTACTAGAAGCTGAAAATTGACAAGATAAGAATCGAAAACATGGAACTAAGAACTAAAAAGTAATTACTGCAATGCGAAGACCTTTTAATGGTCGAGCAATGAGAAGTCAAGCAATGAGAATGAGATATATCATTTCATTGATATAAAATATCAGAGAGATGAAACTTTTAAAAAAGATAAGCTTACAATATTGTTTTCGATAAATACTTGAACTTCTGTACAATCATCTGATATTGGTATAAATTCAGAGTCAAACCTAAAACGATATTTTTATTAAGAGATCAAATAACTCTCTACATTGCATTCATATTCAAATATCTCATTCTAAAATGGAATAAGAAGTGCATATATAATGTGTATCACTAAATATTCATAAGTATTACCTATAACTGTATGGCCGAAGTTGATCCGATGCTTCTTGTGATAATTCCAGCCGTGAACCATCTTGGCATATCACCGTTATGCGTTCTAAAATATAGTAAGTAAATAATTGATAGGAATTTGTAAACCTTGATCTTCAAGTTAATTTCTTTCTTATCAAGAAGACTTAATTCTTATAAAATCAGTTTCTCAACATGAAACACTGCCAATTATGATCGTTGATAAATGAACAAAATATTCCTAGAAACAAACCGTCAGAACCATTCTCTTTTTTGATTCGTTTTACTGGTATTACGTCTTCCTTATCTTTCGTTTTTTCTTCCTTGACCAAGCTTATTACTTTTTCCGGAACTCTGGAATTTTAGAGTAAAGTATTTCAATAAATTTCATGGTAAACTCAAACCTACTGCTAGTAAATAAAAAAATAATGGTGTAGAGGGCAAAATGAAACAATTAGTACTGTGAGTTTGCCAAATAATACTGGGTGCAATTGCTAATCAGCATAAGATAAAAATAACTGCTTTCAATATATGCACTGGAGTTACTCAAATCCAATCAACTAATTAACGAGATTAAAAAATTTATAGTGAGCAATAAATTCAACAAGTCTACCTTATAGCATACTGATGGAAGTCACTCCAAGGATCCGGAAGTGGTGTTTTCGTCGCATCAGCGCTCTCTAAACGTAAAGCATCTATCAACGGGAAACAAAGCGAATCACGTTCGATTAAATTTCTCACACTAACAACCAACTTTTCCAGAAGCTTCAACTCTACTTTCCTAGAAAGCTGAACCTTTAACAAAATTGAGTAAGTACATTAAATAGATAAGGAATAAGAGTAACTATACACGATTAAAAATTCATTATTAGAATAAATTTATTTACTGAACATGTAACAGCTTAAATTTGAATAAAAAATTTGAAGATTTAGAAATTATGACATAACGAGTTTTTCATAACATATCGATGCTAGAAAAGTGATATCAAAGTAAAATTCTTACCGTCTGTTTTCCATTATTTCAAGAAGACGCTCAAACTTCGACTTCGGTGTTTGTCCATCCAAACTATAAGCAAAAAAAAGCCTTCAAATACAAAATGTGTATCGAAACAATGCTCAAATAACTACCTAATAATTAATGCTTAATTTTTGAAATTAATCCCATTATGGCAATAAAAGCCTTTAAATAGCAACCAGCCGGTAGATTTTTCCACCTGCCTATAGATTCATCTTTCCTTATAATACGAAATTCATATACTTGAAAAAAAATAAGTGGAAATTACCGATTTCTTTCGAGCAATCTTTTAATATGTTCATGATAAGGTTTTAATAACTCTAGCTTCTGACTATAAAGTGGTTCATCTGAACTTTTATCACCTTCACTAGCTGATGTACTGTGTGTCGTAGTCGTGCTTTCTAAAAATTTTTTAATGAGGATCAATTGGACTTCGAAAAAAACGCTTCCATGTCCAAGTTAGAATTTTTTAAAAATATCTTGAGAAATAGATAACTTTCTCACCAGGATGATACGGCGCATAAATTGCGGATGGAACACTGCTTGGGCCTTTATGATGCAGCGAAGAAGTCTGCTGTACAGTTGGTCCTACAGATGATGGCTGAGTAAGAGTAATTTGCTGCTGTGAGTTATAATTTTGAACATTTCCAGGATCTTGAGATTGATATTGTATACTTTGAGGACCACTTATACCACTTGCCATGTAATGATTTGGCATGCGCCTGAAACTTTCAGTTTACACAAACCTGAGACCAAAAGCTGCATATTCCATCTTAAAACTCTTCACTTCAATACAAATTAAAGTAAATGCGAAAGAAAACAATTCGAATTCAATTTTAAGTTCTTCACATAGTTATGAATTTTTAACATTCCAAGTCACCAAATGATTTTATATTGAATCTCCTATCCATCAATACTTTTTAGGAAACTTACTGCACAGAGACCTGTGTTGGTCCCATTTGTCCCATACCTGTTTGCAAAGAAACACTTTGTGCTGGATACGGTACTGGACCGCCTTGCACAGTTCCCATTCGCACCATTTGTGTATTACCTTTAAAAAAATTAATCATCAGAAAAGCAAATTTCAAGCCTATTACCAATGAATCATTTCCAATTTCCTTCAAATCAGCTTGAAATTAACAACATCTTGAAGTTTCTATTTAAATTTGTTAAGACAACAAATCTTAAGACATACCAACTTGCTGATTCAGCCCAACACTAATCATCATCCCACCAGTATTCATCGTGCCTTGTCCTGGATATTGTTGCGTTAGCTGCAAATGACAATAGCAATGAGAAAATCCAATGCGTCATTAGAAATGAAACAAGCTAAGCTTTCTAAATGCAGTTAACAAGCAAAAAACTGGAATTAATTTCCTCGAAATTTTTGCAGCCTTACCCGAGAAAATTTCTCACAATTTTTGGTTCTCAAAATGAATGAGAAAGTGTGTCCCTCACTTCCCATTACATCTTTAAGACATCGGGTTCAAGACGAGGCCTACCTAGCAAAAAATATATGACGCAGCATCAAACTTTTTTAACCACTCGTCAAATTCATCCAAACACTAGGACATCTGATCTCATTTAATTTTAAAAACAAATTAATAAAGATGAACTCTGACTCGAACACGTCCCTGTATAAATCCTAAAGCGACTTGTCGTTTTTTTTCAACATTTGTCTCTGCATTAATTTGTTGCTGAGCCATCTGCTGTACTTCGGGTGGCAAGCGAGATAACGCATCACTCATTGTCCTAAAATGAGCATCGAATAAAACCAAACATATCCATCGGTTTTGAAGAATTCACCAAAATCGATACAAAGAAGTTTGATGCAAGGAATTAAATGCAAAAAAATAAACTGCAAATAACCGAAAGAGTAGATCGATTACACTTATTTAAAATGAAAGTAAATAATATACAATAGCCTTGGCTGCATTTGTGGATTCTGTACATACTGTCCGGATGCGATTTGTACTGGTTGTTGACCCGGTTGCATCATCGTCATACCATATCTACAATTTATTCCGTGAATTTACAGCCAAATTAAATTAAATAATTCGAGTGATTGAAATTTTTGCAGACTATCAAAACATTTGTCTGCTTACTTATGCTCCATTAATTCATTTAATAAATCAAAAATCGTTCTTCCTGATATAACATACATTCTGCCTCGGAAATTCTAGGTATAGAGAGGAGGCTGCAGCACACCAAATGACTATGATAAAATGATGCCAAATCGCTGATAACTTAATTGTTGGTAATCGTGAAAATAAAACAAGTAATTCGATGGTGACCATTTGCAAGTTTTTTTGCACAAAAATTATAAGGTGTGTTGCATTGAACAATCAGATATTTGCAGTAATTTTGTTGACTTTTTCGTAAAAAAAGTTGGACGAACAATGAGAAAATTGATGTATCTTTCAAAAAATACCGATTCTGATGGAATTTTTTTATTGCTACATTAGAATAAATTGGAAATATCTCAAATTCAAACAAAATTTTAGAAAAAAGATCAATGGCAGTGAAAAAAATTAACAGCACTTACCTCTGCTGCCGATGTAGCTGTTGCGGTGTCACCGCTGTTGACACAGAAATCTGAAACCATACAAATTCACAAAATTATTATATGATGATTTGTTTAAAATTAATTTCGTTCACCCACTCTCTCTGCAGTTCCATTGATAACAGAGCGGTGAATGAATCAAAATGGATAGTTTAACGAATGACACAGTAGACCATCTTTTTTGTTAGTAACAAAAAAGAAAGTGAAAAAAAAATGCGTATCAACAAATAAATAAGCGTGAGTCATAAAAAAAAACTATAATTTAAAATAATAACTAATACATCTGTGATTTGAAATGATGACTAATAAAAGCGGTAAATCTTCATAAATTAATTAAACTGAATAAGCTATGCTGGATCTACCTTCTTCATCCTTATTTGCTATTTGTTAACCATATCACAAGGTAAGATCAATGTGTAATTTTTCAAATACAAAAAATAGCAAACCATCCGAGGATTCTGCATTCGTTGTCCATGTTGCATTATAAACTGCTGTTGATCGACGTAATTCATACTTAAACTCCAATTTATTTTGTATGCGGACTATTTTCAATAAATATACAAAAACCTGCAATAAACCAAAATCACTAAAAAATATACATCATAATTTACCGCGAAATGTTAGCTAATAAAACAGATCATTAGCAATTCGGACTTGAACCAGTGTCATTTCGAAGCAGGCGGGGGAGGGAGATGAGATATCTTGTTGATGCTCAGTTGCGGATGCTGTTACACCGTCTTTGGTATACTGGGTTTTTTGCAGAATTTTCCCTCTTTATGAAATTTTTATATGTATCGTATTATGAGGTTGCGAGGCACTCTTTTCCTACGGATATGAATCGAAAATCAAATTGAAACTTTGATAATGATAATATATTGCAGGTAAAAAAATGACAAGGAAGCAAGCAGATTGTGACACTTTCCAAAAGGTGTCTTATCTTAAGCATTTTTTTTAATTTCCATCTATTAGTATGAATTGTTGCCGTGGTTTTACGTGATAGGCTTACTTTGTTAATTTATTATCAAATTTGGCTGATTTTATTATCACTCTTAGATTAGCAGAAAAATGGATCAGTTACAGACAATATAATATCTAATTAGCTAGATAATTTTTTATTTGAAGCCTTGTAGAGAAGAGGTTACTGTTTGTTAATAGTATTGCTTTATGTTCACCATTATTCTCTCTCTCATTTGAAATTTAAAATTGATTCATAAAATGTTATCACTTTTTATTCGATACAATAACAGTAACTGACTTAGAAATTCTCTTTTTAAAAATAATAATTTTACTTTAATTTTACAACTGATTGAAGAAAGTCCACAAAATGACAAAAATGAATATTTCTATTTGGTATAGTATGGGTGCATAGTAAAAATACTGTTGCTTTATTTGCAGCTCGGTGCGTCAAACATTCGTAACGTATGTATAATTGCTCACGTGGACCACGGCAAAACGTGTCTTGCTGATTGTCTTATCTCATCGAATGGATTAATTTCGACTAGGATGGCCGGTAAATTACGTTATATGGATAGTCGTGAGGTAGGTTTTCTTGTATGCCATCATTTTCATTATTTCTTCATGAAAAATAAAATGTCATGTAGTCCTTCAGCATTCAATGAGTTGGAAAAATTATTTTTTTGTAAAACACAGTTTTTGGAATGGAATTTCGATATTTAAATTTTGAAATTTATTCAAAGCATTATATAGGATTTATATAATCCTTTGAATGTAATTTGTGGATTCTTCTATTAGTGGGTTCCTTTTAAGATTTATAAAGTATTCAGGACGAACAAATTCGTGGAATAACGATGAAAGCTTCGGCAATCGCTCTTATGTATGACAATAATATTATAAATTTAATTGATAGTCCTGGGCATGTTGATTTTTCCGATGAAGTCTCCTCAGTGTTGCTGTTGTCAGACATAGCTTTTTTGGTGATCGATGTGGTTTGTCGGACATTTTCGTTCTCTTTAAATTTTGAGTTTTTTTAGTAATTGATAAATTCTTTTGTTTTCAACTTTCATCTAGTGGATATTGGAGATTCATGTTATGGAGTGTTTTACAATCACATAAAAACATGCTCAGGGCGGAGTGCCTGAAATAAGAATATTGTTCTTATTTTCTACCAATTATCAATTAAAGTTCTTAAGGTTGAATTTGATCTCCATTTTGCTAGTAATTTAATTATTCTGAAGCTGCGCTTCAAAATAATTAAATTACTAATAGAAAAATTAAGTCAAATTTAATGTCCTGAACGCTACTTCTGTATTTCGTTTCAACTTTTGAATCGGTTCTATTTAGGTTGAAGGACTTTGCTCACAAACTGAGTTTCTTCTTCGGCAAGCGATCCAACTAAATCTGGAAATAATTCTTGTTTTCAACAAAATTGATCGATTAGCTGTAGAAATGAAGCAGACTCCTGCTGAGGCTTTTGCCCACATACGTTGTTTACTAGAACAAGTAACATTTGCCAATATTCCAATCTTACCGAAATTGCATTTTGTTTGAAATGATGAAATTTACATATGGCAAAAATTTATGAATCTGAGAAATTAATGATTTTGATTTGGAATGACGCTTCATTCCAAGCTACTGTTTTGAAGTTTTTTGGAAGATTAAAATAAAGAATTCATGTTGATCTGGATCAGGTATGATTTATTTTCAGGTCAACAGCTGTATTAGTCAGATTATTTCTGGTGTTTTAATGGAACAGGAAGATTGGCATAGTGTTGAATGTGCTGAAAAGGGCTTGTATTTTTCACCAGAGAATGAAAATGTTATTTTTGCTTCAGCTTTGCATGGTTTGTTGTCTGCATTGTCATGTACTTCACTTTTTCTAAAAGTAATCTGAAAAAGAAAAATCCAGCATTTCAATTTCACTGAGAGTAGCATACAAATTTTTTGTGTTCAGGTTATGGATTTTGTCTATCAGATTTCGTCAGAATTTGGTCCAAGAAAATTGACATACCGGAAAAGGACATATTATCAAAACTTTTTACGGATTCATATTTTTCAAAAGGTATCATCAAAGAAGGAGCAGAAGGCCTAGGAAAGAAGACTTTGTTTGAGCAGTTCATTTTGCAACCATTGTGGGATGTTCATAAATCCAGCCTTATGGATGAAGATCTGCAGAAGCTGAAGGTTAATTTTAATTTACGTTCTAAATAATTTCTATTTTCTTTTTTTAATAGTCGTGATAATATTTGACATTAGAAAGCCAGCATTTAATGGAAAGTCAAGAATCAGAGATATATGCAGTTTTTCACCTGATTTTCAGACATTTGCTGATAAAATGAATATCAAAATTCAAAGCAAACGGCCAGCGGAAGCATTCGATGAATTTATGCGTGGTTGGCTTCCTTTGACGACGGCTTGTTTCCGAGCTGTTATCCTTTCATCACCTTCATGCCAGTCCTTCACACATCCTTGTCGCTTAGCATCGTTGTCCGTAAACGAAAATCATCCTCTCTATGAAACCGTTAAAGCATGCGACAGTTCTGCTATTACTGTTGTTTTTGTTGCTAAAATACTGCAATATGGAGAAACCATATTAGCAATGTGTCGTATACTTTCTGGATGTGTTCGGAAAGAGGATCAATTGTTTTTAATTAATAATAAGCATTTAAATGGAAATATCGAAAGGTATGCAATTGATTTTCGCATTTTACTTTTTTGCGTGGTGATTAAATACTGTTGATTATAACATTTTATTACATTCTGGACACTAATCTCTAACAAGTTCTGCCTTGAGCATTATCATTCTGCCCTTCACTTCTTACTTATCAAACATCGTTAAACTTTCTGTAGATAGTGTAGTTTGATGAAAAATAACTTTTATGCAGGAATCTTTCAATTTCAACTACTCTACGTCTTTAACTTTTGTTGAGTTATCTCATTTCCAAAATTTCAGGCCAATGGTAAATATTTCCGAAGTTTACCTGCTTATGGGGCGTGAAAGAATTGTGGTTAATCGTGTTATCGCAGGTATGGTGTGCGCAATCGAATTTTCAAGCGAAATATTAGCAACAACTCTTTGTAGCGAAGCAGTTTCGGAAGGATTGGTTCGCGTTGCACATGGTGCGAAACCGTTAGTTCGTGTGTCAGTACAACCAGCCGGTGGCTTAGATGAACTAAAAAGTTTACGAGTTGCTCTGAAGCAACTTAGTGTTTTAGATTCAAATATACGAGTTATCGAGCAGGAAAATGGTGAACTAGCTATGTTTGCTGCAGGTATCATTTATTTGCGATATAGAAGTTTCCGATTTTTTTGTCTTTTTAATATTTTCTCTATATTTATTCGATTTTGGCTGCCGAAATTGAAGTACATGAATATCAAGATACCGGCGGATTGCTAATTAGTTGTGGATTTCATTTTTAATAGCATTGCTTCAAGACTTCTATAAATTACTGATTATCGATATCCACTGTTCCTTTATTTTTCATTATTTAAGTTTTTTATATTAAGACTATTATATCCGAAATTTTTTTCATCAGCAGGTTTCCAACATTCAGTCAACTCATTGTTCTATTTCTTGCATATATTTTTAGGAGAAGTTCATCTCCAGAAATGTCTCACTGATTTATATGATATGGGACAAAGAAATATAAAAGTGTCAGAACCATCAGTACCTTTCTTCGAAACTATAATTTCCATACCTGGAATGCCCAGCAGTTCAACGCAGCCTGTTGTAAGCACATTTTTGTGTTTATTCGAAAGAAGTTTCAAAATACTCTACTTTTCAGAAAAAGTTACAGATCTGTGATTTTCATTAATAATTTATTTACATATGATTGCAGTAATCCTTTTACGTGCAATGGCATATAAAAATAGATACGGTGCTGATGAAGTGATCTACTCGATTGATGTTAAAGGTTCACTCTATGCTGTTTTAGGATTGTAACGTTCGTAGCGGCTTGGCTAAAATAAAATTGCGTGCAGCAGCATTGCCTCGAGAACTTGTTGAAGTTTTGGAGAAAAATGAAAATATCCTACGTGATTTACGACAAGGAAAATTTACGCCAGCGGTAGAGAATTTGCATAAAATTCTGCTGGGTGATTGTGTGAATTGGCTGAAGGATTTAAAAGGAAGTTTTTGGTCGAGACAGCGAACTGAGCAACTCAGGTACATGTTTTAAGTGTATGAATTATTGACTGATTTTTAGATTTATAGTGAATTTTTTTGACAAGATTAATGAGGTCTTTTATTGAAAACTTAGACTAATCACTTATCATACAATTTTTAGTGGCTTACGAACAAGGCATGAAATTTTTAAATGAGAAATAATTTTATCTGTTAAACTGTTTTATTAGGCTGGATGATTGCACTTTTGTCAATTAAAATCGCATAGATACTTATTCGCGACTGATTTAAGACATCATAGTACACTCTGCTTGTGCAGTGAACCTCACTTAGTTTTTCCCTTTTTAATCCAATTTAAATTTTGTTATTCATTTTTCAATCTTTTTTAGGCATTCTATCAATAGGATATGGACATTTGGACCATCGCGAGCTAGGTTTAACATACTGTTTAATGCAACGGATGATTATGATAGGCCATCTATATGGGAAAGTAAGTTTTTCTCAGTTTCATAAAGTCTTTTACTTACCACTTGAACACTGTTTTCCTTATGATTTATTGAGGGCCAGTGATGCCGTAATTTGCAAGACATTGCAAGGTTGTGAAATTGATGAGATTTATTTTCTTCCTCCTTTTTCTTAATTTATTTTTCCCTGTTGGAAGTTTTTTAATTGTTGAATATGACCGGTACTTTATGAGGGTTAAAGAAAAGAATGATTTCTAATTATATTTTGCTATTTTCAATTTCTCTTCCAGAAGGTACTTCCAAGTTACGATGCTTTGATCAGTCGATAATAGCGGGTTTTGACTTGGCAGTAGGAGCAGGTCCGTTATGTGAAGAACCAATGTGGGGTACTGCTATCATTGTTGATGAATGGATAGTAAAGGAAGTTGATGATCCCACAATGGCTGGTGCCTTAATATCTGGGATGAAGCAGGCATGCAGGTCAGTCTTTAAAAATTTTTTCAAACATTATTGTTTTTGCTGGTAAGCGTTGAAATGATTGTAGAAGAGTGGAAAACTTTCCATTTTTTAAGTTTATAGAAGCTAATTTAAGTTGCAATTTAAAACCTTTCGAACGTTGGCATTTTGAAATTAAGTAGGCTTGACTTTTAGGACTTATGAGACAGAACCTAAATAACAATCGATAGAGCTCCTTATCAGCGTTATATATTTCTTTTTAATCTAAAAGTAAATTTGTTTAAGAGACTTTTTTTCATTTTTCTAAGAACTTTTATAAAAGCAAGACTTTATTTTCAAATTTACCTAACCATAAATATGTTATGTTGGAACATTCTTCGTTTTCACTTAATAATTTGTTTCAGAGAAGCGCAGAAAAGGCATCCACTTCGACTTATGGCTGCAATGTACAAATGTATTGTGCAAACAAACGCTCAAGCGTTAGGCAAAGTGCATACAGTCCTTTCTCAAAGGCGAGCAAAGGTATGTTTTGAAAAATGACGGTATTAACTTTTTGTACTAATAGTTTTTTGAAATCTTTCCGGGGCGAAGTTACGGTTATAAATAATTTCGTCATTTTTTAGATACTAAATGAAGATATGAATCAAGCAAGTGGATTATTTGTTGTTGAGGCGCATTTGCCAGTCATTGAAAGTTTTTCATTTTGTGAGCAGCTAAGAAAGAAAACTAGTGGCCTTTCATCGGGTCAACTGGAATTTTCACACTGGGAAATAATTGGTGAAGATCCGTTTTGGGAACCTACCACTGAGGACGAGGTTCGAAATTCTTCGAAATTTTATAATTTAAATGTAATGTTGTTGACGAAACTGAAATTCTGAATTAAACGTCAATTTTTAGATTAAATTAAATTTTTTGAGAAAATAAAGAACTTAAATTTTCAATGAATAAGTTAAATGTTAAAGTTTAAAATATCTAATAATTCATTTAATTACTGTTTAGGTTGAGTTGTACGGTATCAAAGGTGATGCCATAAATCGAGCTCGTGTTTACATGGATGCAGTAAGGAAACGAAAGGGCTTATTAACTGATGAATTAATTGTAATTAACGCTGAGAAACAACGTACTTTGAAAAGAAATCGTTGAGCATTGCATTTCCTTCTTCGAAATAAAAAATACTGATAAAAATCAGTGTCCGTTTTTGCAAATTTGTTTTTAGGTGAGTGGTATGATGTTAAAGATTCTTTTTGATCTTTTTGAAATTATTCGTTCTTCTTCCCTACTGAATTTTTGGGTATAAAAATTGGCAAAGAAAAGTTGAATGAATAATCAAGTAAAATAAATTGAAATTTGAATTTATAGATCGTTAGCAGACATGAAAAATATTTTGCATCCGTCCCTAAGTTGGTTCATTTTTTGATCAAATTTAAATAGCTTTATATGCAGATATCTTTCTTACTCTGAATTACTTTCAGGTGCCCAATAACTAAGCAGATACTTCAGTATTACTTCTTATATGAACTATAAATAGGTCATGATAGGTCATTTAGACTATTATTTGTCTTAATTGTTCTATTTATATCTCTTGAAAAAACTCAAAAATTTTTGAAATTGCAGTAAAAAGGAAGAAGTCTGATCATGTTCCTTACTACATAACTAATAAAGCAGACAAAGCATAAAATTATTTCAAAATCTATTGGAAAGATAGGACAGGACTACTTTGTATAACGGGCATTATTTCAGCTTTTTTCCTACTTAAAAATACTTAAGCTGAGAAGTATTTGCATTAAATAGAACAAATAAGATTAGCAGATAATGAAAAAAGTTTGTAGAGCATTCACTAATTTTACATGTTTCCTTTGAGAATTTACTATTTTAGTTCCTCTTTCAGTTTTTTTAATATCAGGTTTCAAGTTAAGTAAAAGACCGAGAAGTTTTTTTTGACTTACATAAAGCTAAGAATTCTTGCAACCATTTCTGTGGATGAAGCGAAGACCGGAAACTATACCTAAAATAACAACTGTATCTAAAATAAGTTATAATCGTCCATAAATGGGTCATCATGCACTAATTGGTCATTTTATCCCATCTTTTCTAGCAATAATGTTACAAGTTTGATAGCTTCATTGTTAGCTTCCCTGAAAGATACTTGTGATTAAAAGTTACTGTGAATTCCATCAGGAAAAGTTACCAACATGCTATCTGAAGTCAAACGTTCTTATGTTAACAACAAATCGATGTTAATGAATAATTGCTTAATTGGGAAATTCCGCACCATTTATAATTTCAGATATATTACAAAAAGAGAATGTCGAGACATTGAAAGAATGAGTTAAATTTGCCTTCTTTTAGTACATACGTATTCATTCCTCACATCAACATAATTATGTGATTATTACTGATAGCATGTTTGAGAATTGTGGTTGCAAAAACAAAAATTATTTCAGTTCTTAATTTTTAATAGAACACATTGAATGATACTTCGAGAGAGATCTTACGATCGTGTTCAATATTTTTACTGGTATAACCGATGCAAGCTTGAATTGCCAAAGGTAATTTTAGTAAAACTTTCATATGTAAATAAGATTGTTAGCATTCATTTACAATTAATAATATTAAAAAGGACAAAATAAAGAAAGATATGAAGTCACCTAGTAGGAGAAATTCCAGCCGAGAGCAAAATTTCGAGTAATTTGTAAAATGCTACTGATTTAAAAAGCAATTGCGCAGATGCAATTATATATGTGGGAGAGCTCTATTGAAAATTTGCTGGTTTTGGAATGATGTGTTTGTGAATCCATAAAGTAACTTGTTCCTTACAGGTAGCATCACAGGGACATATACCAATCTCCAAGCTACCCGAATAAATGGCACTGCAAATATTTTTCATATATATATATATATATATATATACATGCAAATACAAATTAAAGCTATTGAATAGCTGGAGAAATTAAAAAATCATCTTTAAATTTGAAACTGTGTCATAGTTATTTTGTCAGACAATGATAGAATGTAACTAGCAATTTAAAGGTTTTGCGTAAAATTTCTCATAACTTTGTGTAATTGTATGTGTGACATGAATGACATCATTTTCGAAACATTATGGGCACATTATAATTTGGTTTAATCTGTCAAACGTACAAAAATAGAAGTTAGAATCTCTGGGAGGCTATTGCAATTGAGAATCGTTCTCCATGCGTTCAAATTGTAAAACATAAATAAGATTATATAAAGTCATTTGAAATTTCGAAATTTGATAAATATAGTCTGTTTGTAATAATTAATGAATATGCTCTTACTTGATGGTATCTATGATGATTATTGACTTTTTCTTTTAGATAAAATATTTCGAATAAACTCCATCAATTAAATGCTAATGATAAATCTACCGCATTAAATTCTATATGTTAGATTAAAAATAAGGATGATAATATTCAACTATGTTGGATTAAAAGCATGTAATGCTGTGATCGTTGAAATATGCGCTTTGCGCTTATGACTTTTCTTCTTTCGCCAGCAAATATATGCACTAATCACGACTACATTAAAACCTATACAAAGTACTGAAGCAACAATTATTAGGGCGATTGCCCAAATTGGAGTTAACTTGCTGGTGAATATATCGGCGGCTTTGGATGATAATGATGTATCCGTCGCTTCGATATCATCGAGAGTAGAATTCTGAAATTTAATTTATTTCAGAGCTTGTTTATTGTTTACTCATTAATAATTTATTCATTTGCTATTTCAATAATTCCATTGGAATTGTTGTTGAAATGAAAAACAATAAGTTTTTTTTAATTAGACTGAATCAACTCTTTTCAACTAAGCTTATTTGTTTATTCATTTATTTGCTTGCTTGTTTGCTCAGCAATTTATTATTTTTATTGGTTATGCTTAAATTAATGAACTAGCGAATTGAATTACACTTCTTATTTCAATACAAGCTATGTTCTATGAACCAGAGATTGAATTTTCTTTGCAGCAATATTAGTGGATAAAGTTTTAAGTGAACCCCCACTTAAGACTCTTTAAATTCCATAAATTATATATGAGTGACTCATTTAATTGATCTGCTAGTTTACTTCGCATATCATGTACTTTGTTTAAATACATTGCTTGTTTTAATTTGAATAAAATAAAAGTAATATTAAATTGGTACTTATTGAATTTGGAATTGCAGAAAAATAGATCTAACCGAGAAAAAAGGACTGATAAATTATAATTAACTTGAATTTGGATGATCTACCTGGCAATGATAAGAATTATTTTAATAATTTGGAAATTTCGAATTTTAAATTCAAAAATTAAAATGGATTGCAAGTGATGTCACTTTCCCGTAATTTGTGCTAAAACTTCAGGAACAAATAATATTTTAAAGAAATTTTTCAATTGCCATTTTTTCTATTTTTTTAACAGTTTTCAAATCTTCCGATTCAAATCTTTTTCTAATTCATCTCTTCAAATTATTGTGAAATATTAAAATTTAATTTTTCATTACTTTATTTTCCCTAACATTTACACATTTGTAATTGATCATAATTCTTTCTAATTATTGATTGGTTTATTTTAATATGATAAGTATGAAAGGTAAACAAGAGATGAAGAAATAGGAGCTCAATTTAGTTAATTTTGAAGCTTTTCTGTAAATAATGGAATAAGTCATTGTTAATTGATGGATATGTTGATGATGGATACATTAATATTATTCTGATCATTACCTTTCTTGATCTTTCCATACATCAAAAGATTCTTCCACTTCATCACCTCTTAAAATCAACTAAATTTAATGGCACCTATCTATCTTTTAGACTATTGCAACAATAATTACCACCACTGTTACTATATTACCCCAAGTCAATTTTTCCGCTTCTTACAATGCGATAATTATAGGTGTAATTTTATGCAAATTTATACCTCTCAATATGAATAATGTACCAATGCTGTCATATCAGGCAACTAATCTTTCATTTCTCTTCCCTTACTTCAATATTTATATAAGAAGCTCAGACATATAATTAATGGTAATGATGATTATATAATAACAATAATAATAGTAATAATAATAATAACAATAATAATAATAATGATAATAATAACAATGGTAGTAATAATAATAATAATAATAATGATAGTAATAGTAATAATAATGACGTAATGACGATAAATATGATAAATATAATTATAATGACGTGCAGAATATACTTATAAATTTTTTTGGATAGAGCTATCAAAAAGTTGACTAAGTAATAACGATACGAGATACATATGCAATTAAAGAATTAAATTAAATTAAGAATTGTCGAAATTTAAATTAAACAACTAAAGAATTAAATAATTGCGAAAAAAGTTTCCAAATGAACATTCAAAAGTTTTAAAAACCATAAAAAGTTAACTGACCTGTTTGGCTCGAGTAATTTTTACTGAGACACCTTCGGAGAACTCAGTAATGGTGTCAAATAGGCATTCGCCATCACATTTAATTAATAAACAATTTTCTTGTGCCAACTTCTCAACTACTCCAATAAATGTTACTCCTTGACAATCTGAAGCAATAAAATTTACATCTCTTCAAGTTTCAACTTTATTTCATTCATCATTTTATACTAATAAAGATTATGATTAAGATTTTCGGATATTCTGATATATCAAATGCGGTCGAACATAAAATTCAATATGAATCATTTAATTATTTATTTCAGTCCTTCAGTATGTCTCAATTATAAATCGATGAAATCAAAAAATCAAATGAAATAATAATTATAAAGCACATAATGAAGTTAGCCCTAATATAATATTTGCTAAATGGATATCAAGTAGTTTAGTATCACTATAATTATTTTAGCTATCAGATTATTCCTTCAAAAATAATCATTATTTATGATGGTAGTAGACAGTACAGAGTGAACTTTAACCTATATCGATTTATTAATTATTTTTGAAATAAAGCTTTTGTTCTCATATCGCAAAGTATACATAATTTTTTTAGTTTAACTTAACTTCAAAATATAAAAAAAAATTTCTTTTTGAAAACATATATATTTCAAACTGGTAATAATTGTGAAAAGATCATATCTGTCAGAATTGTCAAATTCATTTCACAACAAATAAATGCATTTCATATAAAATATAAAATAAAAAAATAATTTTCTTCAGGCAATGCTGTCATTATTATTTTTCTTCTTCGACTACTTTTTTCCTTTCTTTTCAATAAAATTTAATTCATTCATTTTAATCGATCAGAAATTGTAATCTTTTAAAATTTAATTTATTTCCTCTAATTTGATTGCATCGTTTGATTAGACAAATGCGCGTATACAATAATTTTTAACAAATAAATTTTCCGCTCTAAAAGATCACTTCTCTTTTATTGTTCCATCATTTTTACATATAAATTTAATTATGATTCATTCGGAATAAATTGAACTGAAAAAAGATTAAAAGAGAATTTTAAAAAAAGGAGAAAGAGAATGGAAAAAAAGAGGAAAGAGAGTGAAAAGATTCGATGAAATAAAAGTCTCCATTTTTAAATTCCTTTTTTATTTACTATGCAAACAAAAAGTAAAACAAAAGAAATAAAATAACTTTAATTTAACAATTAAAAAAGTGGACAAGAAGTGGACAATACAGTAAAAAATAGGTAAGAAGTGGACAATATAATAAAATGTGGACAATATGAGATATTATTTTATTTTCGCAGAAAAGTTATTTTACCAAATGTGTATGTGTTTAATGGACGGTAAGACAACTAAATCGAAATTTGTTCTAAACTGAAATTTCTTTTGATTTATAAATTTTTATCAAAAAATTGGGAAATTATTTTAAAATGCATTTAAAAGAAATGGGTTAAAATGGATAGAATTTGAATGAAATAAATTAAATTAAAACAAAATTAAATGAAATTATGAAATGAATCGAATTGTATAATACAATGAAAACTAAATTAAATCAAAAGCTTATTGTTTCAAAAATACTTTTAGAAATGCAAATTGCCTTTGCATAACATTAATACAAATTGCTAATTAAAGTTTGATTTCATCATTAAATCAAAGCTATAAATTATAGCTATAAACAACGAACAATGAAAATAAAATTTTAATTTTAATGCTTTTATGAAACTTTAGAAATGAATAAAGGTATAATGATATAATTAACTGATCTGATGCATAGATTAATTTTCTTTCCTTTTTCAGCTTCTTTAAAATAAAATTAGAAAGTAGAAATGCAACAATTGTTCTTAAGTATTTCGAGCAAAAGTTATAATTGCAAATATTTAAATATTTTTACCACTTAAATATTTCAAGAAATCAATTCCTTCTATTTTCAACACATTAAATAGATTGAGAATCTTAGGGTTGCAATATATTCCCTAACATTTATCTCACCTTTGTTACTAAACATAAACATAAACATATCGTTATAATTCAAGGTCATTCGTTACTCTTGAGTTAAAATATCCGACAAGGACGATGGATTAAGGGCGATGATAAGGATTGTTAAGGATGTCGGATAATAAGATAAGAAATGATTAAATCTGTTATCTTATCTTATCTTTTCAACTCTTCATTAAAAACAATTTCATATATTATTGTTTGCCGGGTAATTAACTAATTAGTTTCGGAAGTTCAATCATAATTGCAAAGTCTTCTTTTTTTGCAATTTAACTTATTTAATTTTTTTGTCATAAAATTTAGGCACAAATGTAAAACTAACCTAATTGAGTTGTTGCAAGATAATTTTACTATTCTTAGCAATTCATTTCTAAAAAATCGGTTGTAACTAAATGAAATGAATTGCGATATATCAAATTAGGTTAAGTAAGATCAAATTAACGATAACATTGTTCAACTTTTTCTTCAAATTTCTTTTGCTTAATTTTTTTATTCAAAAGGATTGGATGAAAATTCATTTTGTTAAGACATAAAATATATAAAATCACACTAACACACACACACATTGCAATTTAATAAATTACTTCTTTTGTTTTTTAAAATAATTTTTAAAATTTGTTTTTTTTTTAGAAAGGGCTATTGACCTAAAACTAAATCTTTTACTCCTTCTCTTTTCATCTTACGATTTATTTGTTTATAAGATTTTACGGAAATTTTCAAAAAATGAGAATTTCATTTTCCGGCATATTTCCCTTCCCTTTCCATAATACCTTTTTTTAATCTTCTCTTTCATTTTACAACTATTTCTGACTTTTTTCTTCAAAACAACTGAATATATTAGAAATGAAAATTAGAAATATTAGAAATGGTTATTTAGTAATAAAATATTAGAAATGAATATTTAGGAAACTTTTATTTAGCAATAAAAGTGTAAGAAATTGATCGTAAATGAAATGAAAATTATTTCTTTTATAATTATATAAATTAAATGGAAATGAGAAAGCTTTCAAATATTTTCATATAAATCAAAAATGAAAACTAAATGTGTTAAATAATTGGATTGTAAAAAATTGAAATGAAAAAGAATGAAATTACTTTTCCTTTTCCCAAATAAAATATTCTTATTTTTCATATTAAGCTAAATCCTAAAAATGAATTGTCGTTATCAAAAAGTAAATCACATTATCACATTATCATACAATTAATAAATTCGAATTAAAAATATTTATTAGCGGAAAAATTAGCTGAATGTTTTATAATTATTTTCATTGCTATAAAAGATTTATATTACAATTGCTAACAAATAATAAATTTTTCTAATTTACTAAGATGGAGAATATATTGCAATGTGAAAAATATTATTGGAAATTTCAGGTGGCGCTAATTAACTCTTTACTTTAATTGTATTTAATAGGCTTTTACAAATGGGCAAATTAGATTTTTCCCTCAATTACGCAATTATATTATAAATTTCTGATTAATTGAAATATGCAAAAGGAAATGATTTGTATATAATACTTCAAAATATAAAACATTTAAATTGGAATGAAATGAAATAAAAGTTTTTGTTATATCCCGCACAAACAGTTCAGTGATTTCAAATTTTTGCTCATTTATTTTGGTAAAACTAAAGAAAGAATTAATTTAGTTAAAAGAATTGAATTGTTTGCATTCTTTGTGAAAAGTAATTAATTTCTCATATTGAAATAATAAAAGGTACAAATGGAAAAAGCTGTAAATAAGAAAATTAAAAATAGCAATTTTCTACCGTAAATTTTAATTGTAATTAATTTTTCTGAATTTAAAATTTTCCCAAAAAAACTAGTTGGTTAGGGAACAATGAGGGATTTATGCGATTGTTAAGTTTATTATTATTATAGATAATTGATTAAAAATTGTTATTAATTTAAAGTTATCTAATAAATTTACCTGTTAAACTGCAACAAACATGAAGACAACGTTTCAGATCTTCCGTTATCCTACTTACAAGTACCACTGCATTCTCCAGTGACCATTTCCGCCGATAAACTGTCAAATTTCCACAAAAAGCATCACTTCCAGAACAGAATTGTAAACAGATAAATAAGCTTAATAGTGATAAGTAAAAATATCGCAAGGGAATATTGCGTCTTGCTGTTAATAACATAGCCAAATGAGTAATGAAATATAATGGAGTATTTTCAAATTCTTCTTTCAATCGATTTATTGAAGTCTGCTAATTGGCAGTAGTGGTAACATCTGGTCCTCGTCTAGCTGACCAAAATAATAGGATTCGTTAAATTTTCAAAGAAATTTTATCCTGAAATTAATTATTATATATCAAAATGATATCTTGCAAGATTGAACTTAATTTTAATTTATAGGAAAGAAATGTTAGTTCATCTAACAATACGTTACTATCGTTTTCTTACCTACCGAAAAAGTTATTGAGCCAATAAATTTATTAGACCAATAGGTCAACGAATCAATTACTTTATAATGATAATTTGAATGACTCGACCGACCTTTTTCGACTAAATATTGAAGAAACAATAATATACGTTCAGGTGAAACGAGGAGGAATAGGCCTTTCGTTGATTTCATCCGTTAAACTTATTCCCCCGCCCATTTGTGGTAACTGTTAAACAGGATTAACCGATAAAATAATCAATGTTCATATGTCTCCGTCTATTCATTTCTTTCAATATTATCTTTATATTTGTCCTAGAAGATTTGAATGTGTACTGTAGAAAATGTTTCCATTTCTATCTGGACAGAAAATCAATTTACGACATAGCAAATTAATCCTGCAAATATTGCAAGCCAAGAAAGGCTTTAAACTGTACACTCTGTAAATAATCCAAATGAACTCTTTCTTTTTCTCTCTTTATAATAGCACTCTTTCAGTAATCGTAGAATCAATCCTACCGAACAGGCTTTTTGATTTTATCGTACAATGTAAACAAATACATATAGTAGTGAGGTGAGGCACGACGCACTAAAACTAAAGGACAATTTCATTCAACATTTTTCTGCTTCTGAACTTAAATTACAGAATTTATTCAAAAATACTTTTTTTAGAGCGATTTAAAACACTAATTTATAAATACAACAAAGCTATAAATTAAGTTAGCATAAAAAATTAGAACTGAAAATAAAAACATTAGTATTAATTGATTAATTAGTTAATTATTAGACTATTAAAAAATTTTGATAAATTTAGTACAGTATTCTCCTTTGATAACTTTTTGATATTAAAACGAATGATTAAAAGCCATTAATTTACTTTTTTTTAATTTCTTATAAAAAAGATTTAAGAAATTTCGATCATATCATGGCAATATGCAAAATATTCAATTGTTTAAATTAATTCTATCATTTCAAAATATCTCTTAAATAAATAATGAATGAATGATTTATGCTATCGAATAGAATGCAATATTATCTATAAGGACAGATGACAGAGTTGGCACCATTTCAATGAGTCAAATTATTTACAGTTCATAAAGTTTTGTTTTTAAAAAATTTTTTTATACGTAATGAAAAAGTAAATAATCTAAACAGTTCGAATTACTTCCATAATTTTTAACATTTCCCGTTAAAGAAGATGAATTATAGGAAATAAATGCAAATAAGTCATTTTCATTTTTGAAATTAAGAAAATTGCTTCTTTTATTTGATTAATTTTTCTTCTAAAATGAAAGATAAAGAGAGAAATTAATTGATTAAACTGTAATTGATAATTATTTTAAATGATAAAGGTTAAATGATAAAATTTGTGGTAAAATAGAATAAGTTATTTTTGTTAAATGAAAAGAGTAGAAGAGATCAAAATAAGAATGTCACTTTTATATGAACTAATTGACAAATTTAGTAACATTTCATCACATCAACTATTCAAGCCAGTGGTACTATCCTATTTTTCCTGTCTCAACAAATGGCATCATTTAGATCCGATCGGCGATCCATTTTCATCATTAATATTACATTCATATAATATTGAACTGCTCGCACTAATTTTAATGAAAATTGCAATTCAATCAGTTAAAATACGACGATAATTAAATGATAAAATACTCAAAAATGTTCCATAAGGAAATTTCCATTCTTCATGTTTATCATTTTTTTTAATGATTAATAATAAATTTTAAATACTTCGAATATTATTTGACAATGTTGAATGATTACCGAAAATTACACAATTTATATTATTGTCCTTTTAAATAGCTAAATATTAGATATTTAAATAGTGAAAGCTATTTGAATAATTATTGAGGATGATTATTTAGCTTTTGGAAGATTTTATTAGAATGCATTGCAAACATTTTGATAAAATGATATTCTTTGCTTGCCAGAAATCAAACGATCGAAATCAAAGGTTGTCTGTTGGGAAAAGGATTTGTAATAACTATACTTCAGGTAAGAAACTAAGATAAAATCAAAAGTTGACATGGAAACAAATTGTAGAATAATTCATAAAATTTTAATTATTTCACTTAATTAAATATATGAATAAATTAACAAACTAAATGGCTAAATGGGCTTAAACTTAAAATTGAACTTAAATTTTCGATAGTTTTTCATAAATATTTGTTTTCTCTATAAATTAAATTAAATTTTCGACAATTTTTTAATGATACATTTATTAATTGTAATTCTTAAAATGCTTGCTTATGTTTACTTATTTGTTGGTTAAAGGGATATTATCTTATTAGTAACAGTAATTAACATAAATTTAAAGACTAAAGAAAAAATCAAAATGTTGAATAAAAGCTTACTTCTTTAGAACATAAATATCGAAATGATTCATAAAGAGCTATATTTGTTCTTTTTTAAAAAATTTAAAAAAACAAAGGAAAATTAAAAACAAAAAGTTATAATAAATATAAATGCAATAATCAAATAAATTTACAAATAAATATAATTTAAAATAAAAAATTTCGTGTTTGAACATTTAAAAGTTTTTATTATTAATAAATATTTGCAGGCAATTATGCATTCATATCAAAATTATTGTATAAATTGTTCAGTTATTTGATAATTAAAAAGTGTGTAAAATTAAAAAGCCAAAATTGTTTCAAATTATTACACAAACAAAATGCAGCAAATAAACAAATAAACAAATAAACATAAAAGTAAACAAATTAAAATAAAAATACATGAAAATTTTTTGAGACATTTTTAGAGCAGTAAAACTAGCCATTGTTGAAAATTATTCGGAGAATCATCGAAATGATTTATTGTCGTACATTTCATTTCTTACAGCGAAAGGAGAGAAGAAGAAAGAAGAGAGAGAGAGAGAGAGAGAGAGATGACCGATTTCAAAATTTTATTTGAATGTTATTACAAATTATTTTCCAATTAAATTACAAAATTTACCTTTCAATTAACTTACCTCTCATTAATTATTGTTTTATTCTAAATGTATCATAAATATTCCACAATAAATTACTATAATTTTGATATATTATTTAGTGGAAATGAAAATTTTTGTTTATAGAAATAAATTATAGCAAATTTTAACAAATGAAGTTCAAAAATTTTTTCTTTCTTCTTTACCGCTCAAAAAAGATCGATCAGAAATAAAAGGATCGGTATAAGAGAAGGAATGAATAATTAATGATTATAGGCTTGGCTCACTATGGTTAAGATTAATGAGCCATTTTTTTTAAATGAAAAGTTCGAAGTCCCGCTGAGAACACCGTATTTTTATTCATTTTTGAAATGTCAAACAGCAATTTCTTCACTTATTCAAATTCACTCCAATTTCTTTTCTGACAGAATTCATTCCATTTTGTGTAGCAAAAAGAACGATGAAAGAAAGAGAAGAATTTGTGAAGTGAATTTTAAATAATTCAAAAATATAAATTAAATGATTTCATTAAATCTTCCGCTTCTCATATCGAATTACTTTTATGCTAGCAGAATGCTAAATTTTCACTTAATTTATCTTTTAAAAGAAAATTAAAATTGTTTGACTGTCTAAAAAATTACTTAATTTACTTATAATTATATGTATTAATTGAAAAATTTGGGGTAAAAAATAATTTGCAAAAGGAATAATTTTATTTGGTTTCCCTAAAGGAAATCAAATAAAATTAAAAGATAGCGTAAAGATAAGAAAATTAAAAGTTATCAAATTCAAATTAGAGATTGTAAAATTTCACCCATTCTCTATTATCAATCAAATGCAATAATAATAAATAAAATTGAGTTCTTATCATTAATGCCATTCAATTTAAATTTATTAGGCATAAATCACTATTATGAACCACTACTACTACTACTACTACTACTACTACTACTACTACTACTACTACTACTACTACTACTACTACTACTACTACTACTACTACTACTACTACTACTACTACTACTACTACTACTACTACTACTACTACTATTATCAGATCTAAATAATTGAAATATGCAGATTTGATTTATAAAGAAAAATTGTTCAGATTATAAAATTAGGCAGTAACTATTTCAAATTAATAACAGATTCACTACAAAGTTATTATGTTCTCGTTTTGGAAGTTTCACAAATAACTCAAAAAAAGGCAGAAATTTCTCAATTCTTCTTTTCAGGCCATAACCGGAAGTGTAGAGAAATCCTAGTATAGAAAAAAGTCCTAAACGTTGAGAATTTGTCCCAAAAAAGAGATGGCTGTTTTTTTGCAATGCCTTAAGATGAAGAAATCGCCATTTCAAGGTTATTAACGCTTTTCCTATAATATTTCGATGTTCGATCTGAATGAAATGAAGTTGTAATTATAATAATAAATACGACAAATAGATGTTTTCAACTAATTCAAAAATATTTAATTGGTAGCATTTAAGTTTAATTGGATTTTGTACATAAAATGAGAAAACAGACAGTTGAAAATATTACTTTAATTTCATTTAATCGATTTCTTATATTTCTAAGTTGAAAAAATTGCATAGAATCATCGAATTTTAAATTATTGAAATCAACAAAAATAATTTTACTTTCAAAATTTTATCACAAAAAGTTGTTGGGAAGCTTTTTAGGCAGTAATAAAAATAAGTTCCATTTGATTTTACTTGTAATATTCAAAACTTGTTAAATGGAAATTCTTCAGTGAATTATTGGTTTTTTTTCTCTTTTCATATTAATCATTTCATTGTTTTAAACTCCAATATTAATATCAATTCATTTCATATTTAAATTCAACTTCTTCTAAGTTATTTGCATCTTTGCACATTTAAAACAATGAATATTCCATTCGGACAAAAATTAATTATATATTTTTCATTCAAAAATTAATTAAATGCAAAACAAATATTTCTAATTAAAAAATTAATTAAATACAAAACAAATATTTTCATGATTCGGCAAAGAAAACTGAGAAATTTGATGGAAATAAGATTTTAAAAGATTTCTCAAAACTTAAAAAATATAAGAAAAATTCATCGCAATTAAAAAAACATGGAAAAAAGGATAAAATTTAGGCTAATCTGGTAATTGATCTCGAAAAGAATGTCTGAAAGGAGTAATCATCGAATGGTTAATAAGTACAAATAAGAATTGAAATAATGAATTAATTAATGTCTTTTCATTTAAACAAAAAAAAGGTTAATGTTTGAATGAATTTATTGGAACTTAAAATAACTCAAATGCATTAGTTTATAAGAACGTAAATGAAATGCATTCCATTATGATTTGATTGACAAAATGAAAATTGTTGCGATAATATTAAATTAAATAAAAATCGAAGACTAAAATTAAATACTGTTATTACTCTTTTACTTACTTGAAATGATGTAAATCATTTATTGCGAACACATATATTTCATTATTATATTAAAGAGGAAAACATTGTAAAACTGTAATTATATCGCTGTTTAATTTCAAAATGTATATAAAATGAATTACAAACTGGATCTCCTTAGGCATTTGAATAATAATCGAATAATAACAATAATCGAATAATAATAATCGAATAATAGTAATAATCGAATAACAATAATAATAATAATAAATAACAAATATATTAACAATACTTGAAAATAGATATATTAATTGTATGCTGCAATTTGTGGCATATTATAACATACTTTTATTAATTATTAATTAGACCATCTTCTGAAACTGTTCCCTTATTAAATTTCGTAATTTCCCGGTAGAAATAAGTCTCAAGAGGTTAAGCATGTTACAGTTCGAAATTTAACAATTACAATTATTATAAACTTGTTTCTTTTGCCATCTATTACTTGATGATTTCAAAGGGATGTTATTGAAAAGGAAAATTAAATCAAATTTTATGTGATACGTTAACATATAATTGAATGTTTTAAGAATCTAACATAAAAAAGTTTGAATTAAACATAAACAAATTGTCACAATTAAACATAATTAAGTAATTAATGCAAGAAAAGAAAGAAAGGAATGGATTCAATAAGATTGTCTGATAAATATTTGAATGAATTTCCATATCCTACAAGATATTACTCTAAATATCAATCACATCGATATTCATAAAGTTATCCATGAAATATTTCTTCGATATTCATTTAAAAAATTGATAGCAATGCTGACGACAACATGGTAATGGATAGGATAGTTGCGCTCAAATCCCGTTGACTCTCAATATCCGCTCTGTTGCCATGGTGCAGATAGATGTTTGGCCATTGTGGTGCTGTAATTACGGCGAGTGGAAAAAATTTTTTTTCTTCTGCAAATTTAAGAATCAAAGAAAATGACATTAATATGGGTTGGTTTATATTATCTCAATTTTAGTTTCATTTTTATCAAAATTTAAATGTATTCATTTTGTTCGATTTTTTTAGCCTTTAAGAAAATTTTTGAAATTTATTAAAATTTCATCTAAAATTTGAATATTTAAGAGTAAATGATATTTATTATTAATCAGAAGAAAAAGCTAATAGTAAACATTGCAGAAATTGAATGAAATATATATAAAAGATGGATTTCATATTCCTAATTTACTAACTTCTTTTTGATCTTACAAACTTAACATAGTCTATCGTTTCAGTAAGATCGTATCTAACGACGATCAGTTGCTTCAGAAGCGCAAAAGATACCCTATGCATTTCAACTTTTTCTCCGTAATTTTAAACGCTTGGATAGTTTTGTGAATTTAACTTTTTATTTCTTTGAAATTTCCTTTTGATCAAAGGCAAAGAATTTCCAAGGTCATAGTTTGAATTGAATGAAAGTAGGAAAATATAATAATTTCCTAAGGTTATAATTTCAAGTTTTTCGCAATCATATAAGGTCGTATTTTTAGATTCGGTATTCTTTAAAATTTTCGAAATTATATCAATTCTCTCGTCTTCCACTACCAATATTTGCTCAAATGACTTTCTTGACTTTTTTATCACTCAAACATGTCGGAAGTAAGAAATGCAGCTGTCGTCTATATTCAATAGTAATTAATTACTTCTCATTCAAAATATCGATTTAATTGCTGAATTAGAGCTCAAAAACAATAATAATATCATTATGAGTAAACAATTAAAAAAAATATTATCTTTTGCCCGAACCGCTTATATACTTATTATCCGTATAATTTACAGGTAAAATGAATAATTATTGCGGTATCTTTGAGGTATCTTACTGACATCAAAAAAATACATATTCTAATTTCGTAAAATTCACAAATGAATGAATTAGTGAAATGTTGAAAATTTGTATAATAAGACAAAAATTTTTCTCCAAAATAATCAACGAATTATTCTTTTGCTATGTTTATTTGAATGTATCATTTCAAATTATGCAATCTACTTTGAAATTTAAAGACTATCATTTCATAATTATATTAATTGGGAAATTTGAATTCTTTTATAAATGAATTAAATATCGCCTTTTAGCAATAAAACTTATTAGGCAATATTGTCAAAGTTGAAAATTACACATTTCCTTTTTCTCTCCTGTAATTATCTCAGTTTGAATTATAATGTTTGAAGATGCGAAACTTGTAAGATATTCATCGATGGATACTATAACTTTAATGTTGGAATGAAATAGAGCAAAAAAAAAGGTGGAAACAAAAGGCCTGAGTTTAAGAATAATAATTAATTAATGCATGAGAACATTAATTATTGATTAGAATACTTAAATTCAAATATACCAATAGCAGAAAATATAAGAAAAGAAAAAAAGCAAATTATTATAATTTAATTGAATGAATACAAACATTTTACAAAATCCTGAGTTAATTAATTAACAAATGAAAATTTTCAAAGTGTACGTATGATATGAGAGAATTCATAATCGAAATGCATTTGTCAACGATCATTTTGCATATATGTCAAATATGCTTTCTTTTCATTTGACAGCCTTAAAAATGATTTCTATTTGGATGTATGTACTCATTTAATTGAACTTCAAATCATCGAATGGAATATAAATTTATCTAAGTAATGATTGCTAAAATAAAAATGATAGTTTCTATACATTGAAATGATGAAAAATAAGGAAGATATTACCTGGAATAGAAGTTGCAACGATGAAATTTATATTTGAGCATTACATTACAAAAAATGAATTAAAACCATTTCTTACAAATATTATTCTCGGATTTTCGAATTATTAAAATTCAATTTTTAAAATAATAAAATTAACTTTCTTATTCTTTATATTTTCATTTCACTTTAATGATCTAATCGATATAAACTGTTTTTGTTTTTTGAAATTTCATTCTTTGCTTTAAATTTATATTTTAAAAATTTTTGTTGTGAAGAAATTAAATTGGCGAAATTATTAAATTTGTCATTTTTTGATTGATAAATCTAATGGTTCTGTTTGAGGATATGATTGAATAAAATTACTTAAATCTTTTTGATTGTAAGCATTATTAATCACTAAGACATCTCGAGTGTTGAAAATATTAGTGGATAGCCAAATAGGAAAGGCCCAAACTGGTGCTGGTGGTACTATTGGTTTGATAAGTTGAGTTGGTGAATTTAATAGGCCAGCTGATTGATAGTCTCTGCAAAAACGAGCTCGTTCTTGAGCTTTTAGCAATGATGAAACTTTGAAATATTTTGAACGACGACCATAACGTGAATCTGAAAAATGATGTATTAATTCAAACTTACATAATATGTAACGATTGTTTTAACGATTCTAATCAAATTGAATGCTTTCAAATTCTGAAAATTTTCTCAATCCTTTCTTTATTCATGATTAGTTTCTAACTATCAAAAACAAATAACTAGCTTTAATCATTTGATTAATTAATTGAATTATGTTATCAAATTTAACACTTACTTTGTGGTGCCATTCCAACTTCGATACATTTATTGAAACGACATAGTTTACATGATGTTCGATTCCGTCCCTTAAATTTTGGAAGGAATGATTGAAAAATTATTAATACTTTTATAAATGACATAGAAATGAAAGGAATATCATTTGCAGTATTAATTTTATTTATTTATTTAAGTTTATGAAAATTCCTTTGGAAGTAAAGAATTGAATAAAACTTTCAAATATGAATGGTAAAAAAATAATTGCCTTTTTTCACTTCACCTGTACATTGCATTTTCCGCCATTTTTGCAGAATAATTTTATTCTTGTACTTAAGGTATTGCTGTCATTACTTCCATCAATATTACCTGTCCCTTTTGATGGCTTGCAAGTTCGTCCAAAAAATGACTGCAAATTTTCGAAATTTTTTTTAAATTCCACAATATCAAATAATATCATATATTTACAAATAATATCACAATATCATATGTCATCAAAAATTGAAATAAACGATTAAGTTCAAAAAAAAAAATAAAATTGATATTAAGTTTTTGCAACATATCATATTATTATCATTATTTATTTATTTATTTATTTGCCTATTTATTTACTTAATTTATTTACTTATATAATTTCAAAAGATTTAATTGTTTGAAAGAAATAAATAAATAAAAAGAAAAATTCTTTCATTTTTGTTTCATTACAATATGAATTTGCTTGAATTATTTTCAGGAAATTTCAAAAAACCGGTTAATTTTCGATGATATTGAAATATTTCCATTTTTTTCATCTCTTTTTTGGACCAATTAAAATATTTTATACATAAAAATTTTTCATTCGTTAAACTTTACTTTTACTTGTACTTTTACTTTTACTTTTACTTTTACTTTTACTTTTACTTTTACTTTTGCTTTCAGAGCAAAGCTTACTTTTCATTTTCTCTCAAACAATAATTGCTAAATGAAAAATCAAAAAATTTTTGCACTATTTTAATTCATTTCATTTCGTCGAGAAAAAAATAAAAAGTTATTTGTGATAAAAACAAATGAAAGATTTTCCAATTAATGAATATAACATTTGAACTTCAAACTTTAGCTTTTTCAAATAGCTTAGTGTTGAAAATTGGTGGGCCAATTAAGGTATAATAATTTCATTCGAGCCAGGCCAATTGAGATATAATAATTATGTCTTTTTTTATGATCATACTGTAAAATGATATATATGTTATTTTTCCGTTCATCAAAATTTTATTAAATTTATCAAAGGGAAAAAAATGTGTCATTGCTGAGAAGTGATAATGCGACACAATAATTGATTGATTAAGTTAGTAAGTATCCAAATATTGTAGAAGTAATAATGAATGATATAATAGAATTATTTTCAATTGAATCTACCTTACATCCTTCACAGGTAAATGCTCCAAAGTGATAACCTCTAGCAAGTTCATTGCATACCTGACATAGAAATGTTACCTGAAAATTTAAGGAAAGATTATTTTAGAATGTATTTCGTTAAATATAAGAGTATTTTGCCAGTTTTATAAAATACTTTAAAAAAGAAATTCCACATCATATTTATTTTTCTTTAAAAAATATCATTCAATCATTCTGCCGTATTTTACTTAATTACCGTTACGCTTATTCAATAAGCGTAAATTACACATCTAATCAAATCTATAATTAAATGATAATGATTGGTAAATCATAATATGTTTGTTCTTCTTCAATTTATAGCACTGTTGTAATAAGCTTTAATAGTGAATTTTTAAAATCCTCTAAATTAAATTTCTAAAAAGGTAAAATGATACCTGAGTGGCAGTAAAATGATTACTGCTGTTATTACCGGTTCCGTTGCCGATCATTTCATGCATTGCACTTATTTGCCGTTGAAATATTTGCTTTCCTTACAACGGTTTAAAAGGGAAAAAAAAGGGAAAAAAGTAGGAGGAAAGTTGGACAGTTATCTTTTTCCCTTCTTTTTATGACTAAAAAAAATAACGCAGAAATTTGTTGGCAAAAATCAGTCAACCAATATTGTGATAGAGATAGAGATGTTAGTTAATTATATCAATTAATTCGTTAATTGTTGTTATAGCATTCTCTTTTTTTCCTATTGATTATTTGATCATTCATTCCATAATCATTATCATTATCATTATCATTATCATCGTTGCGATAATATTTCCTAAATGATTAAACTAATTAATAATCAAATAATTTTTATTAATTATGGAATAGTGAAATTTCGAAAATTTTTTGATTATTTTACATATATATATTGTTTAAAGAAAATATATTGTTTAAAGAAAAAGGAAAGGAAATTAAAATAATTTTATAAAGAAATAAATCGTTTGCGAATAGCTTTAAAGAAGAAAATTTTATGCAAAATATAATTATATTATTATTACTACAATATGTTAGATAATTTCATGTAATCATTGGAATTTTCAAATTTGAAATAATTCAAAGAATGCTTAAATATAAGCTCAACGAAATGCTTACTAAAATTTATCACAGATTAATTACTGTATCATCTATTATACATTCATTTGTTATCACTCATTAAACCTATTGCTTTCTTTACCTGATCAATAACTGAATTATACGTGTATCACACAATGTGTGATACGTATATGTGTACGTATAATATACGTGTATACATGTGTGTGTACGTGTATATCGATCTGTCCATCTATCTATCCATCAGATAAACATTAATGACAGTAGATTTCTATTAAAAAAAGAACTGATGATATGAAAAAGTTGTTAGTTGATGATTAAGGAATGATGAATGACATTTGTTTGGTCTGCGTCGGTAAATCAGCAAAGAGCTTCTGTTCTCCGTGATGCTACGATTTTATTATTACGGAGACATTAACCTGCATTTTGCCATCATGGCTTACAAAGAAGATATGATACGCTC